ACAGGCCTTTACCTGTCTCACTGAAGTATGAGATATTTCCCAACTTAAAAGTATTAACAGAGGGGCTGGAGAGATGGCTTAGTGGTAAAGAGCACTGACTGCTCTTGCAGAGGACCCAGGTTCGATTCCCAGCACCCACATGGTGGCTACAAACCATCCTTAACTCCAGTTCTGGGGGAATCCAAAGCCCTCTTCTGACCTCTGTCGCATTGCACGACATGGGTGCACTCACATACATGCAGGCAAAACATTCATAAGCATAAAATAAAAATAATAAATAAAATATTTTTAAAGAATATTAATAGATAATATAATGTCTCCAATATTAAAAGAACATTATTTTGATTGGCTTATAGAGATAATGGAAAGAATTATCCAATCATAAATGCTATTCTGCCTTACCAAGAGTACAATGTGGTTAGTATAGACAGATAGTGTGCATTTTATGAAAGGCCTTAGAGACTCATTAGCACACTTGTCAGGGGAGGTAAAATGAATGGCTTATGAGACAGACACAAAGAACCCCACAGCAGTTAGCCTCACAATCCTTCTCTTTAATTGGAAGTGGATCTGAAGGGTCTACTAAAGGCTCAGAGCCTTGAAGAAAGGTGTTCCAGATACCACCACTGGTACCTTTAATAGACCCCTGGACACTATCCCTTGTACATCTCTAAGGCTCTACAGTGGACTGAGTTAAGATGTCTAGATCTCAGCATTCTGTAGATTCTTTTCCAGATGTAGTTTCTGGTAATTCACTTCAGACCTAAAATCTCAGCAAATCAGAATTAATTACAGGACTGAATGAACCAATGAGGGAAAACTTTTTTTTTTCTTAGTTGAAATCATTTATTTTATCATCAGTTTTCCTATTGTCCATTCTCTTTTCTTCCACTGGATACAGATTGTTATAAACATGTTGAACGTTGAAGCTTTTTTTTTTTTTTTTTTTTTTTTTTGAGACAGAGTCTTGCTGTATAACCTAGGCTGGCCTTGGATTTGAAACACTCCCGCCTCCTGCCTCAGCCTCCTGAGTGATGGAACTATAGAACTATACCATCAAGTATGGTAGGTATCGAAATTTTTTAGTCCATTTCCATGTGTACTTATTTTCTTTCATTTTGTCAGTCTCTTTAGCCCTTTCCACAAAACTCTGAATTTTAATAACTATTTTATTTTTGACTTTATTTTTTTTTCTATGTATGAGTGTTATGTCTGCATGTATATATGTGCACCCATGTTGTGCAGTACCCATGGAGGCCAGAAGAGGGCATCAGATCCCCTGGAACTGGAGTTACAGATTGTTGTTAGCCACCCTGTGGATGTTGGGATTCAAATCTTGGTCTTCTGCAAGAGCAGCTAGTGCTCTTAACCACTGAACCATCTCTATTTTATTATTTTAAAGTTATGTATATGTGTCAAAGCAAGCACCTTTGCCTGCTGAGCCATCTCTCCAGCCTGTGATGTTTTTATTTTTATGGACACATGAAGCTTTCACTTTCATCATTAAGATACCCCTACCTTCCATTTATTAATGCACACATAAGCAAACTGAGATGAAACATTTAACAATGGCATTTGATGTTCATGGATGTCCTCAGAATTCAGAAACAAAATGCATTTAGTGGGTCTCTGTATTTTTCATGACAAAATGGTTCTTTGTATAGGTTCAAAAAGAAGTTTCCTTATTTTTCCCAAGATATAATTGGAAAAATATATTGTTCAACTAAGTAAAGGTCATATTTGAAAATGATGCTATTAGCCAGATCCAGGAGCTTCATAGTAAGAGCCAGGCATGGTGGCACATACCTGTAATCCCAGCACTTGGGAAGGTAAGGTAGGAAAACCAAGAGTTCAAGGTTAGCCTCAGCTACATAGTGAGTTTGAGTCCAACTGGAACTACATGAGATCCTTTCTCAAAAAGCCAAATTTAAAAGAAACATAACAAAAAACAAAAGTTCATATTAAGAAATGGAATTGTTTTTAAACATAGAGCCAATGTTGCCAAGCCCTTCTTCCTCTACTGGCCTTGGTGGCTACCTCCATGCCAAAGTTTACTGGTGAAGAGCAGTCACTTCTTAGAAAGATAGAGACCTGGATGGCAAGATGGCTCAGCAAGTAAAGGTACTTGCTGCCAAGCCTGATGCCTGAGTTCAATCCCTGGATCCCATTTGGTGTGTGCTGAATAGCTTTAATGTTAACCCGACACACCTGTGTTGAGGGGGCCTCAATTGGGGAATTGCCTCCATCGGACTGGCCTGTGGCCATGTCTGTGGGACATCTTGATTATTGAGTGATGTAGGAGGATCCATCCCACTGTAGGTGGTGTCACCCCTGGGCAGGTGGGCCTGTGTTGTATAAGTAAGCAGGCTGAACATGGGTCAGGGGAACAAGCCAGTAAGTAGCATTTCTCCATGGCCTGTGCTTCAGCTCCTGCCTCCAGGTTCCTGCCCTGAGTTCCTACCTCGGGCCCCATTATGAACTGTGACCTGGGAGATGTAAGCCAAGTAAATCCTTTCCTCCCCATGTTGGTAGTGGTCAGAGTGTTTTGTCACAGCAATGGAGAGACAAACTAGGACATGGTGGAAAAAGAAAATTGACTCCTGTAAGTTGCCCTTTGGCCTCTACATGCTTATTGTATACATATACACATGTGCGTGTACACAAATCCCTCCCAATAAATAAACATAAAAATTTTAAAAAGAAGCCAGAGACTTTTATCATATTTTGCCTCAAGACGAGAAAAACTTAGGCTGATTTACTGATACTGTGGTGAAACATAGTGGAATTTCCTGGGTACAGGCCTCTAACCTACAAGAGAGGAGCAAATTCAGGCTTCAGAAAGCCCAAAATTTGTCTTGCAGACTGTTGAATAGAAGATAATTGTTTTGACCTTATTTTCTTAGTTATGTAAGTCTCTAGATTTGCTGAGAAAACTTGAGGCTTATATTAGTTGCTACATGGATGTAAATAATCATGCCAAGGGGCCACTGAGATGGCTTAGCAGGTAAAGACACCTGTCACCAAGCCCAAGGATCTGAGTTCAATCCCTGGGACCCACATGGTGTAAGAAGACTCCTGAAAATTGTCCTCTGACTTCCATACACTTACCATGATATGTATGTATCCATACACACAATAAAAATAAATAAAAATGTATATAATCAGGTCAAACCTAACAAAACAAGACTTTTGTGATTAATTTTTGAATATGCTTCTTGTGACAGTAAGAAACTGTCAAAAAATATCTGCAATATAGAAAAATCTTAACAAAGGAGGCACATCCTTCCAATGCCAGAGAAGGGAAAGGGACATTAGGGATACTCACTGTGAAGTCTCCTGATTGAACCAGAAACTCTAGGGCTGTGCTCAGCAGCCTGGCTTCTACTAAGACCTCTAGCTGATGCTGTGTAGGGCAGGGTTGGAGAGTCACTGGTCCAGGGGAAGCTACTTGGTTAAACTCAAATCTATTATGTCATAAGGGGCCAGAATCAGTGACTTCACATTAGTTATCTTGTCAATTTGTCAGTGGGCTATGCTTTTTTGCCTTGTTGGACACTAACCAGATTTACATATTTAACTCAGCAATTTTGCACTAACAATTACCTATAACATCTAGATTTTTTTAATCATTCTTGGAATTAGTTTTGACATATTGGTTTCCTTGATAAGGAGTGAAAAAGAATTGATAGTTGTTTCCTTTATATTTACATGAGAATAATGTTTTTTAATCTTTTTATTACTGTAGTTCATGCTGTGGTAATGTGGTAAGGAACTCCCATACTCGGCACTGGGTGGAAGCACTGTGTTTGCTTAGTATTTTATCCTTGTACAAAGCAGTGTGTGGTATAGAAATTCCAAATGAATATGCAATCAACAAACATTACCTAAAATGACTTCCTTTTTAAGAGGAATTTTATAAGTAGTTTTTTAATATCATTAACAGCAAGCACTAATTTGTGTTAATGCTTATTTCTCAAGGGATTTTTCTGGGGCTTGTTACAAAGGACTTTGAAGCTAAAATATAACTGGAAAAGGGTCATATTCTTCAAGATCTCAGAGACATGTCCATGACTGTCAGCCCTGACAACCAGACTAGAGAGAAGTGGCTTTTCTAGACTCAATCCCAGCACAGGTTGGCTGATTTTCAGTGGAGAAAACAACAGCAAACATAATCAGTCATGAGCCCCAGTGGATCATTAGATCTTGTGCTGTACAGTATGAACTATGAACAGGAAATAACAGTCCATTAGTACCATTAAGGAAAGGAAAATGAAGGGCTAATAGCCCTGGGTGTTTCCACCAGCAGCAGAACTCCGAAATGGAGACCTCGCTGACTCACCTCCCAGATGGCATGCTAGAACACCCATTGCTTTCTCTTCCTGTTAGCCTCTGCCTGCCATGTGGTCTGAGGGCAATGGTGGATGCTAATCATCTCATTCTCTCTCCACTTCTGCTTCCTGGGAATTTGAGTCCTGAGCAGAATAAGGACAGAGTTTAAGGCTCACCATTGGAACAAGGGCATCTGCAGTGCCTGGTGTGGCTTCCCAGCTGGGACCTTTAATCTACTTTCTTACCCAGGGACCACCTGCTTCTTCAGTCCTTCCACCCTGCTTCAGTTCTCTTTTGCTTAGATCAACCAGACTGAGTTTGTGAACTTTGCAACCAAACCAGTGTCATAACTGATATTCATGTTTTAGATGAAGGACTTGAACTCAGTCAAGTCTCACAGTCTGGTCAAATCACCTAGCCCATGGCTCTCATGGATTTTAGTGAAAGATGAGTTGACAGTGTTCCTTTAGTGGAATTAAAGGACATCCCATTTCTCTTTCATGGACGACTTTTTCTTCTCCAACCATACAAAGAGAAAAACACTCTAAAAGTACTTCTAGAAATGTCAGTCAATAAGTCTTTGTGGATTGACTTGCAGAACAGGAATGTTAAAGAAAAAATCCTGAAGAAATCTTTAACAACCTTACATAATTAAAAAACTAGAATGCAAATGGGCTGAAAAAGTACTTTATTTATAACATCATTTTGTAAACAGTTACATTGTGTACTTTTTAATTCAACAAGAATATTTTTCCTCACAGACTTACAGCAAGCCCTATGTAAAGTCAATGAGTTAATACATGAGTGAAGATAAACAGGGTGGAATTTCTAAAAGTGTCAAATTATAGCACTTAATACAAACAACCATAAAAATGTACACGCCATAAAACATTAATATATAATTTTAAATACACATTAAAACACATTTATAAAAAGCATCAACATTAATTTTATTATAAACCAGGGACTTATTCAGAGGAATATTTATTAAAACTTACTAAAAATCAGAAAATATTGCAACTGAGGTAACAGTTTACAAGTAAATAAAACCGTCATTTATAAGGACCAAGAAGTAAACAGAGGGGCAGACAACATATTTGAGGCTGCATCACTCCTTGATATTCTGAAGCAGCTTCAGCAAATGTGACTCTATAACCTGTTGGACTAAACAGACAGGCCATCAAGATCATGGCACGAAAATTAAGGAAACTTGTCAAATTAAAGGCCCCAGTGTTTTCCTAGAATGAGGTTGTTTCTAAGTTGGACATACTTATAGTCTGAGGAAAATAGTGCAATGCAGTACTCAAAATTCAGTCTGCCTCTGATTTAGCAATTGTCTAACCTTCTGAACTTTCTGTACCTACTTACCTAAAACAAAATTATTTAAACTGAGGCATCCAGAGCATAAGGTTATTACATAAGTAATTTACTATGAAAGTATTTTTTTTAATCTTACAAATAGGGGCTAGAGAGATAGCTCAGCAATTAAGAGCACTGGCTGCTCTTGCAGAGGACCTGGGTTTAATTCCCAGCACCCACAGGGGAATCCGATGCCCTCTTCTGATCTCCATGGGCATTGCACCCACAGGTGCACTTACATACATGACAGGCACTAATACACTAACATACATAAAATAAAAACATAAAATTTTTTTTTGCAAATACTAAACATTTTTCCTCCAGTAACTACTTGGGTTGATGAGAAGTACAATAAATAAACTCATTTCTTAGTTATATAGTTGTAAAGCTGCTTATTTGTACACAGAAGCACATTTCTGGAGTTAGCATAACATGGACTGTTTTATGACTGAGAGTAATGAAAATGGTTTGGGTCACTGGCATATACTATGTATAAAGTGTTCCTAAAATGAAACCTGAGAGTTCTAAAATACTTACCACTTCTATAGCCCAGAGCTACAGCTAAATCCATAGAATTATACCCAGAGTCAGTTTCAATTGTTGGGTCAGCTCCGTTTTCTATACCAAAACAGAAAAATCTATATAAATAAAATGAAAATTGAGTATGTTTGTCAATTCCTGGCTCATGTGCAAATTTTCAGTCAGTTTAGAGGGTGTTTTCAGAATGGACTCATAAAGTACTGAGCACATGGAATACACAGAATTCATTTGGTGGGCTGAGAGTAGACATTCTAAGTAGACATCTTTAGAGCAGCTGAAACTCATGAACAACCAAAGACAAAACTTAAACATGAAGACACTGTGTTCAGAGTAAACAACAATGGGTTCAAACATGACCCTGAATGAGAACACAACAAAAGTGGGCTGATGCGGAGTGTGATGGAGCTGTCTTTCTCAGGGGCAGCCCTGTGGTAGTGGGTACTCCAGGGGCGAGGAGCAGCAGGATTAATGCAATACAACAATACATACCACCCACCTGACAGTGGGGGAGGCCAGATTGAAAAAAATGAAATCCTCATGTGAAGCATTTCTAAAGTTATTTTCATTTGCTTACCTAACAGCATCTTTACACACTTCACATGATTCCCATGTACAGCATAAAGCAAAGGTGTCCCTCCATTCTATAGGAAAGAATGACCAAGAGTCAATTAAATGCTGCTATGGGAACTGGACATTTAAAAGCAGTTTAAAACAATATTCATATATTATGACAAATTTTAAATCACAGATAATAATTGAATTTATGACATTAATTTGCTCATCCTAAATAAGTCTATCTTTATTTCCAGGTTCTTTTTTTTTCTGGTCTTTTTGAGACAGGGTCTCCCTGTAGCCCCTGCTGTCCTGGAATTCACTATGTAAACCAGGCTGGCCTTGAACTCACAGAGATCTGCCTGCCTCTGCCTCCCAAGTGCTGGGATTAAAGGCATGTGCCACCATGCCCAGCTTTTTTCCAGGTTCTTAATAAAACTTATATGTCTCCTTAGAAATTATTACTATGCAAAAAGACCCCCCCCAAAAAACAAGAAAAATAAATTACTATAATTTTATTGATTGATTTAGTTATTTGAGACAGGGTCTTATATAGCCCATGTGGCCTTGAACTAGCTATACAGCTGAGGAAAACCTTGGACTTCTGGTTCTCCTCTCTCTACCTCCTGAGAGCTAGTATTACAAATGTGCCACCATGCCAAGTTTATGTGGCACTGGGGATCGATTGTAGGGCTTCCTGCATGCTAGGCAAGCACTGTAACAACTGACCTCCAGCTCCAGCCACGTGTCCCAGTCATTTTAAATTCAGTTTTATGGACTCACCCAGTCATACTCATTCACATCAACTCCACAGTCAAGCAGCATTTTGACAATATCCGTGTAGCCCTTGCTACAGGCCAATGACAGGGCACTTTCTCGACCTTTTCCTAAAAGTTGGGGATCCGCACCCTTTTATGGAAGTGAAGATAAAGGACTTTCAATTAATTTAAAAAAGAACATTATCTCTGTCAATATGATTACAGTTCAACACCAAAGTCAAGCGATGTTATGGGGTTAATAAGGAAACGAACTAATGGACATTCTTGGTACCTAAATTGCCTAGGTATCTCCCTGCCTTCCTCCCTCCATCCATCTCAATCCTAATTCTCCTTTCACTTTGAAGTCAAGTCACAGCTCCTCCAGGAAGCCTTTTCCTCCAGGGCTGACAGTACTTCTGTTCCTGTGGCACTTAGAGGGGACTAGACAGTAAATTTTCTGTTTCATGTATAATTAACATTGCTTTCCCAACTAGCTCCAAGTTCTATGTCAATATAAAAAGCCTTAATTTTCTTTGTATCTTCCATCTTTATATCTAGCTGGCTGGAGATGGAAAAACTTTACTAAAGACTTAGCTGAGCTTAAGTAACTACACATATACATTTTCTGAGGTATTTTCCTTACATTCTGAAGTAGAAACTCTACCACAGCTATTTGCCCGTGTGCCGCAGCCCACATCAGGGGAGTAAATCCTTCTTCATCCGTGTGATTGATAACATTTTCTATTTAAAAGAAAAGCAATTTTTGTGATCTAATTTAGCAACCATGTATTAATATCACTATGAAAGCACTGGTATTCCAAAAAGTTGATTATATGACTTAACAAGGCTCACAATGTGCTGGCTTTTGTTTGCGGAAGTCCTGCTGTGCTGCTGCAATTTTCTGTCTGAATGTATTAAAATGTGCCTCAATGTACACAGCTGGGCTCATGTAGCAGATTCTTTAAAGTATAAACTACCAGACACAGCACTATGCTAGGTACAAGGTGGTCAACATTGGTCTCGGGCAGGAGACTCTAGCTAGAATCCTGGCTCTTTTACTTTCTAGCAGTTTGGTCCTCAGTAAGTGAGACTTCATTTCTTTTAGACTGATTAATAGCTTACTTACCTCAACACACAGTTGGCAGATCACAACAAAATGATATTCAGTTATCTGGATATGTATACGTATAATAAAAACTCTTAAGTCTTAGGAAGCTACCTCTTACTCTTCAGCTGACATTGCTGCCTGTGACTGTCTTTCATTCATCTGATTTGCTAACATATAATATGAAGACACAATTCCACTTGAACTTCAGTGTATTCCCTGAACTTAGTCTAGTGGTTATTAACCTCACATCTTCTCTAGATTTACCAAGTAGTTTGAACATAAAACTTTCAAACTTTTTTAAAAGATTTTTTAATTTTTAAAATTATGGTGTGTGTGTGTGTGTGTGTGTGTGTGTGTGTGTGTGTGTGTACATGTACCCATGAGCACAGATCCTTCCAGAGGCCAGAGGAATGAGATCCTCCTGGGCTGGAGTTACAGGCAGATGTAAGCCACAATATATGGGTGCTAGGAATCAAATTTGGGTCATCTGCAAGAGCAGCATGCACTCTTGACTGCTGAGCCATCACTCCAGCCCCAAATATTTTGTCTTTTGGAGACAGGGTCTCCCTGTAGCTCCAGCTGGCCTAGAACTCCCTATATAGACCAGGCTGACCTTGAACTCTCAGAGATCTGCCTACCTCTGCCTCCCAAGCACTTGGATTAAAGGCATGCTCCACCATGATATAAAAAGAAATACAATGACTAACTCATAAAACTCTCAGAACATGCTACCTGTAATCAATAAGCATGCTGAGACAATTTCTTAACTTAAAAAAAATGAAAAGTAAAAATTTTTCTTGCTCTTTATTACACTAAAAAATATTTCATATGTACCAAAGATGATAAAAACGGAAACCACATATATTTTAGAATAAGAATGGGTGTTTTGGGGGGCTGGAGAGATGGCTCAGCGGTTATGAGCTGCTCTTGCAGAGGACCTGGGGTTCAGTCCCCAGCACCACATGGTAGCTAACAACTGTCCATAACTCCAGTTCCAGGGGATCCAATGCCTTCTTCTGACATCTGCGGGCATGCACAGTATGGGTGCACTTACATACATGCAGGTAATACATTCATACACACAAATAAAAAATATATATAGATGGTTTATTTAGAATGCTAGAGTGGGGAATCTTTTCTAAGCAGGATGTAAAACTCCAAAGCTACAAAGAATAAAATTTGCCAATTAAAATGTTACTCCTTTGTTTGAAAATATCATTAAAAAGGTCAAATGAAAAATGGCAAATGGGAAAACTATATGCACTACAAACAACAAAAAGATAATTTCTTTCACTTAGAGTACATATAATGCAAATACACTGTATAGGTAAATTCATATAAAAAGAAATTAAAAGAGATTATAATTTAATATAAATGAAATTACTGTGAGATACCATTTTCAACCACAGCACAGTAAAAATTGAAGTTTCATTGTATCTGTGAGGATGCCAGGAAACTGAAGCTCTAACTTTAATGTGAGGACAGAAATCTCATTGTAAGTAAAAATACAAATTCAGAGGTAGGTGTGCAGCTTGGTGGTTGAACACTAGCCTAGCATGTATGAAGAGTGGTTTTAATCCTCAAATCAGCATGACAAAAACATCCACTGGTGACCCTGCAGACCTACTTGTATAAATTTACTCAATGGATATATTTAAAAAGAATGTTAACACTGTCATTTAGTAGCAAAAATTTGGAATCAACAGGGTGAATAGTTAAACAAAAAAAACATAATATATATACATTATAATGTGAAATATAAAATATCTGGGCACAGTGGTACATACTTGTAATCCCAGCACTCAGAAGGATGAGACGAGAATCGTCAGCCTGGGCAGCAGAGTGAGACCCTGCCTCAGTAAAAGATCTTTATGTGCTTTTATGGAAAGCTCTCTAAAATATTAAATGGAAAAAGAAATGCAGTATATATGATATTTTCTGGCTTATATAAGTAACAAAAGCACATACATATTCTCAAATATAGCTCCATGTTTCCTAGAAAAATTTTCTGAAAACACAAAAACTCACAGTGTTTGTTTGGGAAAAAGGCTAGGGTAGTGAAGGAAACTATAACTTTTATACTTAATTACTTAGAATTTTTCTTTTCTGCTATCCATTAGGCTAAACGTTTGGTGAGATTATACAGCTGTTCCAATTAAATAATTTTAAAGCATAATATTTAAAACTAGGTTATTACCTTGCTCAATACGAGTAGCCAGGTAGAGCATCTCTCCCTGAGCTGCCAACTGGTGAACAGACAGAGCTGAAACAATACAATATTGAAATTCTTCGCATGCGTCTTCTGGGTACAGAGTTACTGTCCAATGGTTCATGCTTGTGAAGCAAAGTTCTTTTCCAAAACAAAAACAAACCTACTGTTCTATCATTTTTAAACTAATAAACTATATTCTAATAGTACAAGTAGTATGCTCTGAGAACTGACTTATGATAATTTGACATATGAAAATTGTTATTTTCAAGGCAGGGCGTGGTGGAGCACACCCTTGATCCCAGCACTTGGGAGGCAGAGGCAGGTGGACCTCTGTGAGTTCAAAGCCATCTGAGGATACACGAAGACCCTGTCTCAAAACAAAAAAGAAAACTGTTATTTTTAATAACATGGATTCAAAGAAATGATTTAAGTAATTTTTAAAATGCAATTTCTGTATCCAAGCTTATGAAGCCAGCCCTAAAAGACACAAAAGGCTTCCTTTTGTTTTCTTGTTGATTCCACTGATGTTATAATTATTTTTTCCTGGGGGGGTGGGTCTCACTGTATTGCCCAGGCCAATGCTGAGTGTCTAGGCTTAAGTAATCCTCCCACCTCAGCTTCCTAAGTAGCTGGAACTACAGGGCTATACCACTCTTCCCAGGTCTAAATATTTTTTAAATATTTTATTTTCATTTTATGTGTATGTGTGTATTGCCTGCATATGTGTAAGTGCACCCATGTTATGCAATGCCTGCGAGGTCAAAAGAGGGTGTTGGATCCCCTGGAGTTACAGGCAGTTGTTAGCTGCCATGTGGATGCTGGGATTCGAACTTGGGTCTTCTGCAAGAACATTCAGCGTTCTTAACCCTTAAGCCATCTCTCCAGCCCCAAGTCTAAATAATTTTGTTTCAAAGTTCTATGAGTTTTTCTTAACATAAGAATGAGTTCACAAATAGGAAACTGGCCTTGAGAATAAAATTTTTTTAAAGGTAGGCTCCCATTATGTACCCTGACTGGCCCTGAACTCCTGATTCTATTGCTTCTGTCTCCCAAGTGCTGAAATTACAGGTACACACCACTATGTTTGGTGAAAGTAAATTTCTGAGTAGAGGTTTAGTTGTGGTTAATTAGCACGTTAATTTTGACAAACTGATATTTTTATTTGTAACATGAGGGACAATCTCTAGCTATTTATTTTTTCACTTCAAAAGGTCTGTAGCTGGGTTATTTTAAGACAATCTCTTGGAGATTCTCCTTCAAAGAGTATTTATTGCCTGACTACTGACTTCAGTGATATGATTGGGTAGTCTTAATACATAAAGAAAAGCAACTCTGAGACACACAAAAATTTATTTAAGTAAATAAGAAATGGCCAATAGGTGTAATTAAAGAGTACTAGAGGAAGATTCTTCCTGGCTCATCTACTAGAACATGGAATTCAGAAACCTGGAGGGATTTAACAGTTCCAATGTAAAGACTTCACCAGGTTTTAGAAAATACACTTACATTATAGTTTCAAGTGTAGTTACTAATATCAAATTGACAACTGGTTTTCTCTCATTCAAATACCCATACTTTACTGAATATTTGCTAGCTCAGATAGGAAAGTTTTGTTTCCTATATGATTCTACATTTTTAAAACTTATGGACTCAGTTTTACAAAGGGTGATTTCATATTCATATTGTATGCAAATGAAACAATACAGAAGTCATTCAGCTTCTAGCACAAAATTTTTTGATTAGTAAACAAATATATAGTTATGTATACTTGTATGTTTATATGTAAGTAAAACATGAAACTGTGTTTCAAGAACAAAAAAATGCTGACAATATCTTAATTTGTAAATGATCCACCACAGCTCACTGCTTTATGGTAAAATTATAAAAGTTTTAATAATATTTCAAACTATATTTTCTCTCAATAGATATAACATGCAATATTCAAACGTGCTAATACATGAAAAAATTTAAAATTATTAAAACTAATATGATGCCATTTAAGCTTCCAAAAATAGAATATACCTTTAATGAAAATGTTTCAATGTCAACCCTTAATTGTACTTGAATTACTAATTATACTGGTAGCAACATTTTAATCCATTCATAGCACATACTTACAATTTGCTAACAGAGGTGTGGTAGAGACCTCATTTCCTCTGTGTTTGTTGGTTAAGGTAGTTGATTGTTTTATGGGTGAAAAGTGTTTTGTTGTAGAGGGGGTGTAGACATGCCTTACTTGAATTCCAGGAGAAGGCGATGTATGGATATTGCATTCAGCTACACAAAACAAATTTAAACACATTAAAATAATACTTTAGGACAAAGCAGTGTAATAAAAGTATCAATGCTCACAATTTCTAAAAAAAAATGTATAAAATTCAACAGCTTGAATGCATGACTGTTTATCAAGTAATACTATTTTTTTAAATCAGTCTATACTACCATAGTGAAAGTTCTAGACAGAAAATTATTAATCTTGAGCAATTTTATTGAGACTAGTTTTAATATCCAACAGTTCATTATAAAAGTAAGTTTAGGGATGGGTATTGTAGCACATGCCTCTAATCCCAGCACTCTGTCTTAACTCAGGAGGCAGAGGCAGGCAGATCTCTGTGAGTTCAAGTCCAGCCTGGTCTACATAGCAAGTTCCAGGCCAGCCAGGGATACATAGTAAGACCCTGTCTCTAAAAGAAAAATAACTTTAAAGCATGCTGACAGATTCTCAAATTATTAGAAGCTAGTACAAATTAAATATTCATGAAATGAAATATTAACTAATTTTGAAAAAGAACAAGGACTATTTTTCCATTATTTGTTTGTTGAAAGACTTGTTAGTTTTATGTGTATGTGTGTGTTTCTATGAGTTTGTGTGCACCATGTGTGCACAGAAGAGGGTGTTGGGTCTCCTAGAATTGGAGTTACAGGTGGTTGTGAGCTGCCATGTGGGCACTGGGAACTGAACCTAGGTCTTCTGTAAGAGCAGTAAGTGCTCCCAACTGCTGAGCCATCTCTTCAGCCCCTTTTGCATTGTTTATTTTAAAATATTTTATTTATTTTATGTGTATGAGTGTATTGCCTGTATGTATATAAGTGTACCTGTGTCATACAATGCCCACAGAGGTCAGCAGAGGGCATGTGATTCCCCTGGAACTGGAGTCAGAGGGTATTAGCCGCCATCATGTAGGTGCTGGGAATTGAACTTGGGTTCTCTGCAAGAGCAGCCAGTGCTCTTAACCAGTAAGCCACCTCTCCAACCCCCTTTTTCTATCATTTTAAAAGATATACTTTAAAATAACTTAATTAGGTAAATTGGAAATAAAGATAGGGCAGTAAATTTTTTTAAAAACCAACAGAAATTATTTAATTTTGATTTCTGTAAGATTCTAGAAATTACATTAAAAGACAACTTCCAAACTCTTCAACTCTGAATCTCATGATAAAGAAAAATAAAACAGAACAAAATCACCCAAATAAAAGCAAATGTAGACAGTTATACCATAACTTTCAACCTTTAAATAAGACAGATGCCACCTCCAGATCAGAGTTAACTTGATCTTGAATATTTTTACTATCCTCTTCATTTAAGGACTTCACAAATCGAGAACACACGTTCATATCAAATCGGTTAGGCAATATGAATTTCATTCCCATAGCAACTCCCTGAGCTGATCCTTCTTCTGAGTTTGGGTCCAGTGGATGTTCTATTTTGATGTCTGGCACGCTAGAAAGACTATAGCTGCTTGAACACTCTTCCACAATCAGCTGGGCCCCAATGTCCAGATTTGCTGATGTAGCCATGGTCTCAATAATGGTTTCAATAATTAAAACAATTCTTCATGATTTCTTCTTCATTTTAAAAAAAATGTTATCTAGTGTATTCTTGGAATTGGGATATTTTAAAAAAATCTGAAAGAAAAAATTAGAAAATTTAAAGTACCATATATAGTATAAGTATATAATCATTTTGAATTAAGCATCCAAACAATGCTCTTATAAGCAAATATACATAATAGAAAGTGTACAAAATTTAGAGGTAGATGACCTAGGTATGAAGTCAAGTTTTGCCATTTATTATCTGTGGGATGTGTACAATTTGCTGAACCCATCTGAGCAAGTCTCATTTGCATAAAGAGATATCACCATTGATCTTAAAAGATCCTGGCAAAGGACAAATGAATTACAGCACACCTTCGTCACTATGTTCAACACACCATAGTTAGTTTCTCCCTTTCCTATATCTGAATATTGTCAAAGGGGCAATCAGTCTATCAATGAAAGTAAACTTTCATATTAAAATTTTAACCTCTTCTTATACTGAGTTCATTGTTGTATAACTGTATTAATTCAACTGTGATCCTAAAAATTTACAGCCACTTTTGAAAGAGATGTATTTTTGCTCTGGAATGTG